GGCGGCCTGGCAGCACTGGCAGAGCCCCCGGCGACGCCGTCGTTCGCCTCCGCCGCGGAGCCGCGCCCCTCGGCGCCGTCGGCGGCGGCGCCGGTGGCGTCGTCGGCGGCGCTTGGCGTCTGCGTTGGCGTCGGCGACGGCAGCTTCCTGTCGGTGTCGTCTTGGGCGGCGGCATTTGCGTCGGCGGCGGCGTCGGCAGCGGCGACGTCGGGAGGAGGAGGTGGAGGAGCAGGAGGAGGGGTCAAGGAGGAGGAGGAGGAGGAGGAGGAGGAGGATCGACCCACCCCGCGACCCACCCGTGACCCACCCGCGCCCGTCCCCTGATTCTTATCCGCATGCGCGGGGTGTTACAGTCACAGTTATCTTCTTCCTCCTCTTTCTTCTTCGCTTCCTCTCCTCCGCCTCTTTCCTCCGTCCCCGCCGTGAACCCCGACATGTTTCGGCCTCACTCCCTCCTGTCCCGCCTCATCCATCTTCGATCGCAATCGCTGAAAAAAAAAAAAAATCTTCGATCGCAATCGCCCATCCTACGAGACCGCCGCCCAGAAGACGGGTGCCCAGGGCCCTCGGAGCGCTGAGAACTGTGGTCGTTGCGCCTGCGATGGACCTCCCGTCCTCGATCCGTGCTCCCATCGCTCGTCGATCGTCAGTCGCCGATCCTACGACTGCGCCGCCCAGATGACAGGAGTCCAAGGCTCTTGGGCTCGTTGGGGCCTTGTTGGGGAGCCTCTCGGGGCCCTCCTTGGCCGTCTGAGGCTCCTTTTAGGGCGTATGGGAACCATCTTGAGCTGTCTGGGGCCTTCCTTGGGCCGTCTTGGGGCCACCTGGGGCTGTTTGGGGCCCCTCCTGGGGTCCCGCCGCGCTGTGTTTGGCGTCTCTTGTGCCGTCCCCGGGGCGGTCTGGGGCCGCCTTGGGGCCCTCTTCGAGCCCCCTCGGCCCGTCTCGGGTCGATGCTCATGGCCACTGGAGGTAGTCTGTAGAACATGTCAGTTCCCTTCTTGGGGTGGGGCAGTGTCACGTGCTGTGGCCCTGGGGGGTCCTCGTCTGGGGGTCCTCGTGTGGAGCCAGCTGGGATCGTCTGGGGGGGGGCTCTCGGGCCCTCCTGGGGCGTCCGCGGCGCCTTGTGGGCCGTAGTGGGGCCATCTTGGGCTGGGAAGGGCCCTTGGTTGGGCTGTCTTGGGGCTCTTTTGGGCTGACTTGGGGCCCGTCTCGAGGTCCTCTCGGGCGCCTCTTGGGCTTCGGGGAGCGGGGCAACTTTTGCTTGTGTGGGTCCTCGTGAGGAGTTCTCTTGGAGACGTCTGGGGTCGTCTACGGGGCCTCTTTGGACCCTCCTGGGCGATCTGCGGCGCTTCTTGGGCCGTGTTGGGGCCATCTTGGGCTGGGTGGCGCCCTTGTTCGGCCGTCATGGGGCCGTATGGGGCTGTCTTTGGGCCCTCTCGGGGGTACTCTTGGCCGTCTCTTGAGTCGTCTCAGGGCCGCGTGGAGCTGTCGTGGGATCCTCTTGGAGGCCTCTTGGCGCGTCTCGGGTCGATGTTCAGGGCCCCTGGAGCATTTTGCCAAGCACATAGGTCTTCCCTTTTTGGGAATGGGGCAAGTTTTCTTATCCGCAGCTGCGGGGTGTTGCTTTGTTATAGCCATCTTAGGGCGAACGGGTGCCATCTGGGATCGTCTAGGAACCCCTGGGAGCCATTTTGAAGCCATGCAGGCCGTCCAGGGGCAGCTCTGAGGCGGTCGAGGCCGCCAGAATTCCCCCCTTTCCGAACCGGCCAGACGGACCCCCCCGAGGAGGGGTTTGTCACCGAGCGCGTTCCACTACTCGCAAAGTACCTGCCCGCAAACGTCAGAAACACACCTGTCTGCATCGATGTAATGTATCGTACCCCCCCCTGGGTTATCGAGGCCATGTGCGAGTATTCACTCTGCGAGCAGTGGAGCGCGCTTGTGTAGCTTTGGGAGGGGGGGGGCAACAGCCTTCCACGCCGCACACCCCACAGGGGCGGCGGATTCTTGTCACCGCGGCATGCCGGCCCGCGGAATCGGTGGCCCATCGGGCCCATCCCTGGCACCCCGTCGTGGTGCCCCATCGTGGCCCCCCAGTGTGGCCCCCGCCCATCAGGGCTCGTTTCGAATTCGATGGCTTCCGATTCCGAGTCGATTGCTTCGGATTCCGATTTCGGGTTCCGATTTCTCTTTGGAGGCTTTACTAACCTTCCGATTCCCGCCGATTCGACTTCTCCCGATTCGGTTGCCGATTTCCGACCGTCCGATTCAATCCGACTTATCGATTCGATTCTGGGGGCGCTTGCCCCCATGCCCCCCCATCGTGGCCCCCATCGTGCCCCTGCCACCGTTGCGTGTGTCTGCTGAGGTCCTATCGAAGACGCCTACGGCGAATCACCGCCGCCCCCTGCCTTTTTGGAAGCGCCTATGTGGCCGAACGTTGAGGCCAGACCTGCCAAGCTATCGGACCACGTGTTCCCCGAATCGGTTTGGAAAGCCTTCGGGGAACACGTGGGCATCTTGAAGGTCATCTTGGCCGTCTTGGAGGCCTCTTGGGCAAGCTTTGGGCGATCTTTGGGGCTTTTTGGGCCGTCTCGGGCCAGCTTCGAGCCAACTTCGGCCATCTTGGTGGGTTCCTGGCACGTCTGAAGCCGTCGGAAGCCGTTTGGGGGGCCTCTATGGGCCGACTTGGGGCCCGCTTGGAATGCTCCAGGGCCGTCTTGGAGGCCATCTTGGGCGTCTGGGAGGCCATCTTGGGCGTGTTGGAGGCCTCTTGGGCCCTCTTGGGGCCCTCTAGGGGCCATCTTGGAGGCCACTTGGGCCATCATGGGGCTCTCTTGGGGGCCTCTTGGGCTTGGGGGGCTTCCCGTCTCGAGCCGTCGGAGAGCCGAAAAGGCGCAAATGCCAGAATCCTTCAAAAACCAAGGAAAATCAATGATTTTGGCCTCTTCGGACTCTCCTGGAGGACCTCTTGGAGGCCTCTTGGGCCGTCTGGGAGGCCTCTGGGGGGCCTCTTGGGCCGTCTTGGGCCGTCTTGGACTCTCTTGGGCCGTTTTGGAGGCCGTCTTGGACCATCTCGGGCGGACTTGGAGGCCATCTTGGGCCATCTTCGCGATTTTTTGAGGATGTCCCGAGCGAAACGGCCGTTTTTTGGAGGATTTTTTCCGGTCGTTGAGCACCTTCCGGGTGGCCGGCGGGTTCTGCCGGAGCCCACTGGTGAGTTCTTTTGGAAAAAGAACCCAAACCAAAACCTGACAGCTCGTCCAGCACGCCGTGCACCCCTGCAAGCAGGGGGCGGCGGATCCAGCTGCCTACGGCAGGTCCCGCCACCGTGCCTGGGCTGGGAGGTATGAAGCCTCTTGGATGCTCATGGGGATCTCGCGGTAGGCCAATCTTGGGAGCCTCTTGAGGACAGGTTTGGGGCTTCTTTCGGGGCCGTTTCGGAGCCTCTTGGGGCATCTTTTGGGCCTCTTGGGGGCTTCCGGGGACCTCTTGGGGCCTCTTGGGCGCCTCTTGTGGTCTCATGGGCGATCGGCTGGCATTTTCGGTTCGTAATCCCTCTCCTGAGCCCCTTTTTGGGCCGTCTTGGGCGCCTCTTGGGCCGTCACGGGGCGCTCTGAGGCCGTCTTGGGGCCCTATTGGAGGCCTCTTGGACCGTTTCGGGGTGGTTTGGTGGGCCCCTTGGGCCGTCTTGGAGCGTTGGAAAGCCGAAGTGGCGATACCAACAAGATCTGTCGAAACCTAAGGGAAATAATTCATGTTTGCCTCTTGGGGCTCTCTTGGGAGACCACTTGGGGCGTCTTGGAGGCCTCTTGGGCCATCTGGAGATCATCTTGGGCGTCTTCGGGCGATCGTTTGGCGATTCGGGGCCCTCTTGGACCTTCTTGGGAGCCTCCTGGGCCGTCGTGAAAGCTCTGGACAGCCCTAGGGAGGCGCCATGGCCACCCAGGGGCACCCAGTAATAGGGGCGATGCAATCAGGGAAGCGTGGTCGGGAGGGTGGGGGGGCCCCTTAGAAGACAGGCACGGTGGCGGATACAGTGGGGGCCCATGCCAAGGAACACCCTGCTTGCCTCCAGGGTGCCCTGGGTTTGCCCAAAATCGATGGACTTCCTGGTTGGTTTCTTATGGGCGGTTTCTTGTGGACGGGCCTCCGCTGTATGATGCTTCGAACACCCAGGGGAATGCTGGGACCAAGACCTCGGAGGTCTATCGAGGCGCTCCGTCGGGCCCCCCCGAGGCCCCCTCCCTGGCTCCCCAGCTTCTCCCATCGTGGCCCCCCATCCTGAGTCGTGCGAAGCTGTTTGAGACATACTGCCGCAGGGGTGCCCTTTAGAGTCATGTTCTGCGGTGTTCCACTCTGGAGATATGGAGCGTCGTTGTCGTCGTCGTCATCGTCGTCCTCGTCGTCCACGTCGTCGTCGTCGTCGTTGCCGTCTGTCATCGTCTGGCTTCTTCGTCGTCGTCCTCGTCGTCGTCGTCGTCGTCGTCGTCGTCCTCGTCGTTGTCGTCGATGTCGTCTTCGTCGGCGTCGGCGTCGGCGTCGGCATCGGCGTCGGCGTCGGCCCTCGTCGCCGTCGCCGTCGCGACTTCGTCGTCTGCGGCCCGCCGCGGCGTCGTCGCGACGTCGTCGTCCTCCGTCCCGTCGCCGTCGCCATCGGCGTCGTCGCCGTGTGCGTCGTCGCCTGCGCGCGCCCCCCCCCCCACCCGACGAGGAGCCTCCCGCGGAGCTCCCCGCGGACCCCGGCGCGGGCGTCGGCGTCGTCGGCGCCGCGGCGGCGCGCCGCCGCCCGCTTTCTCGTTGCCAGGATGGGGAGGGGAGGAGAGGGGAAGGGCGGATCCTCGAGGGAAGCGGTCTCGTCATCCCCCTCCTCGTCCTCCTCTTCCTCATCTTCTCTGCTCCTCCTCCCTCTTCGCCTCTCGCTTTTCGCTCCTCGTCTTCCTCCTCCCTCCTTCCCCCCGTCCGGCTGGGTAGGGAGGACCCTCGAGGGAGGAGGGAGGGAGCATTCTAGAGGGAGGTGAGGGGGGGATGGGGTGGGGAGAGCTTGGGGCATAGGGGGATCTTCGAGGAGAGGTCCTCGTGGGGGGTGAGGGAGGCAAGGGGGGGGGGAGGGGGGGAGGGAGGATCCTCGTGGGAGATGTCAAGCGGAAGGGGGGGGAGAGGGAGGAGTCGCCATGAGGACAATCGGGTCCTGAGGGACGCAGGTTCGCAGGTCCGGAGGGCTGTCAGCAAAGCGACTCCAGGCGGAAGGCGCTTGTCCGGGCGGCACGCCCTGGGGGTCCAGGACTCGCTCCCCTCGGGACCCGCTTGCTCCAGGCCAGAGGAGGAGGAGCAGAGGAGATAGGGGGAAGAGAGAGCGAGAAAGAGGAGGGAGGGGAGGGTGCGATGGAGGGAGGGCGTGGGGGAGGGAGGGTGGGAGGGAGGGAGGAGGAGGGGCAGAGACGGAGGCGGAGAAGGAGGAGGAGGAGGAGGAGGACGAGGAGGAGTAGGATGAGGAGGGGCAGAGCAAACTCACGATGCATTTACTACAACGCAGGTACTCCGTTGCCTCGTCATGTGGTCGTTCCCTGTGGCCTCCTCTGCTCAGGTTCACCGTCGTTATCCGACGTCTGTCTGGGAACAGTTATACGTTCTATCCTCTCTTTCGGGCGAAGGCGGGGATTCTTGGATTGCGAGGCTGATGAAGCAGGACGCCTGTCAGCGAAAGGCGGCACGCAGTTAGCATAATATTCACGTGCGCGCAGAAGTACACGGGCGCCAACACAATGCGCCAACCTGAAGACGAGCCCACCTACCCACCGATGATGTATGGAGATCCTGTTTATTTTACCACGCAAGCTGCTGGTGCGCAGACTGCGACGGGGACGGGGGCACCCTGGCCTGACTCGATCCGATCCTCGAGGCACGCCGGGTACCACCCACCACCACCCATCTGTGCAGAAGAGACGGGGTTCGGCCGGGCGGGCTTTTGCAGTACGAGGCAATCGTCGTGGGCCACAGGCTACGGACGATTACCTCGGTGAGACGGAAGTGCCGCACAGATTTTTTGCACTAGAGCCACGGGGGCCAAAACATGAAAAATGAACCGTCCGGTGCGAAGCGCAGTTACCGTCGCAAGAGGAGGCATTGGAAGAGACAGTCTAGCCAGAATGAACCTCTGATAATTGTTTGGCGCCGTGCGGGATGCAATTCTCCGGATAGGGATTGCACCGAAGAGCGCGCCAACTCGGATTCTAAGAGATTTGGCAGGTCCAGAGTTGGAACGCAAGCCATGTGAGAGACGAGGATGCCCCAGAACAAAAAGGCCACATTATGTTGTGTTGACATCATTTCCGGCAGCCAGCTGGACCACACTGCCAACAGCGGAGCGCTCCCCAGAAAGCTTTCAGGAGGCGCGGTTGATGTGGGCCCGGCGCAGTGTGCCTTTTAGTGTTCTAGGAGCGGTAAAGAAGAGGATTGGGAACCACCAGCTGTCACCACCAGAACCGCCCGCAGTCCAAAGTCCTGATGGTGGAGGGAGAGATGAGAGGAGGGCCGGGAGGGGGCAGAGAGGGGAGGTAGAAGGCGGGACGAAGGGAGGAGTAGTGAGGTAACCGAGGAAGGTCTTCAGTTGTGCTTTTTACCCCCCTGTATCTCCGCGGGGAATAAGCTCCGCCCGCCTGATCTTGCTCCTCCTCCCCCTCCTCTTCCTCATCCTTTTCCTTCTCCTCCTCCTCCCGCCCTCCTCTTCCTCCTCCTGCTTCTCATCGGCTTCCTCCTATTCCTCCTCGTCTCTTTCCTACGGAGGAGTAAGAGGAAAGAGGAAGATTAGGAAGAGGAGAAGGAAGACGATGAGTAGAGGCAAGACGAGGAGATGAAGGACCGGGAGGCCCTCTTGAGGGCCGGACCTTGTTGCATCCCGTCGCGTGGTTTCGTGAACCCTTGCCTCATCCTCCTGTTTTTTTTCTCCGAGGGGAACAAACCGCCTCCTCTTCGTGCTCCTCCTTTTTCTCCCCATCCTCCTCGTCCTTCTTCTCCTCCTCCTCCTCCGCCTCCCCCCTTCCTCCTGCTCTTCCTGTTGCTCCTCCTCGTGGTCGTTATCGTTATCGTAGTCGTCGTCGTCTTCGTCATCGTCGTCCTTGTCGCGGCGAGGATTATGTATGTTCCCTCCGATGTTGGGCGGGATGGATAATGTTGGGTTGTTTCTTCTCCCAGGGAGTGAGCCAGTGTGGGCTACCCTGTACGCGAGAGGAGTTGTGATCTTTGTCTCATGAGGACAGCAATTGGAATCAGCCACTGTTTGTAGTCGTGTTTGTAACCGTGATTGTAATCGCTAGTCGTCTTTGTCGCTACGAAGATGCTGCTCCCTCTGTTGTTGGGCGGGCTGGGTCAGGTTTTTTCTCTCAGGCAAGTTTGTTCTCGCACTAGGGGCTATCCTGCACGCGAGGGGAGTTGTAAGCATCGTCCCATGAGTACTACAATAGGAATGTGTCATTGAGTTTGTAGTCGTGGTTCAAGTCATGTTTGTACGTGTGACTAGTTGTCGTGCTTGCAGTCGTAATCGTAGTCGCAGTAGTAACCGTAGTCATAGTCATAGTCGTAGTCGTAATCGTAGTCGCAGTCGTAGTCACAGTCGTAGTCGTCGTCGTTGTCGTCGTCGTCGTTGTCGTCAACGTCGTCGTCGTCGTCGTTAGTGTTGTTGTGCGGCGGCGCCGCGAACAAATAGTTCTGGTCCACTTTTGGTGGGACCCCAGTCCGTCAACAAGGTCGCCGAAAAGATACTTTGTTTCCAGTTGTGGGGATTATAATCTATTGACGCATCGCGGTTAGAGGAGGAGGCGGACGGGAGGAGGAGGAGGAGGAGGAGGAGGAGGAGGAGGAGGAACGGAGGAGGAGGAAGTTGAGGACCAGAGTGACCCAATGTGTCTCAACGAAGCTGCAGTTCACCCTCCCTTCTCAACTCCCTTCCTCGTCAGTCCTTCAATAATTCTTCTCATGGCGCGCAGCGCCCCCGTGCCAAGGCGGTGTCTGGCGGCAGCTTCGACGACGTCGCCCCCCCCCGCTTAGCCCGCGCGCGCCCACCCGCAGGGTTCGGGGGCGGAGGGACTAAAAGGACGACGCAAGGCACGCACATGCAGCCCAAATGCTGGAATAAGAGCCACTTTGGCTCAGGAGGGGCCCTGGTTCTTAAGCCGCTCCTTGGATCCAGGGCGGGAAGCCCGTGTGTGACCGAGGTTCGCTGTGGACAGAAAAGCCATTTCTGTAGCTCCTCTGCGTCCACTGTGATACTGTTAGCAGCTTTGGCTTAGCGTATCGCTCCGCCGATTCTGGCCCACCGCGCTTCGGCACGACGGCGCGACACGGAATGCACCTCCGGGCCCCCAAGCGCTAACGTTTTGGGCTTTCCCGAGCCTCCCGCCCCGCGGAGCGGAGCGACACGCCACCCGCTTGCAAAGCGTTGCGTGTCGCCGGGGCCGCCGCGGCGACACCCTATGCAAAATCTCCTGACCGTAGCACGATGACTGTACGGCATCACGATCTGCTCACGGAGCTCCGCGCGGGCGCCTCTGGCACTGCTCTCCTCGAGCGCTTAGCGCGCCAGGGGCAGGGCATCCCCAAACGATGTGGTGGCCACGCCGCTCTGGTGAGGCAGTGCGGTTTCGGCGTCGCCGCGCGCTTGTGGGACTCGGGTCGCTCTCTGAGGGCGTCTCGGACTGTCGGTGCCTCCAGGGTTCCAGAGCCGTGCGGCGACGGGCCGCGCGGTGAGGTCTCTGGCGACTCCGAGGTCACCAGACGGTCCGTCACCACGTGAGCGACGAATAGGGGGCCACATGCGAACCCTACCCCTACCCCCCACGATTTCCGAGGGGGAGGGTGGGGTTCACTTCGCTCGGGAGCTCCCAAACGAAGTGAGCCCCACCCTCCCCCTCAGAAATCGTGGGGGGTAGGGGTAGGGTTCGCATGTGGCCCCCTAACGAAAGAAAACGGGGTCGTTTGCGCCGACATTGGCGCGCAAGCTGCCCGCACAAGCTCGTGCGTAAGCGCCCTCGCTTCCAACGTAGCGTGCCGCGCCGGCGGCCCGCGTAGGCCTCTGCGTAAGGTCGCCACGTCATCCTGCATAAGACCCGTTTTTGATCGTCCCTCAAGTGGTTCTGGAACCCCCAAGGAGGGGGTCCTGCGCCGACCCCCGTGCAATGCGCCCAGGCCTCCGACAACGTCATGATCGGGTGTGCCCAAGGCCCCGAATGGGCGTGCCCCAAAATCGGTTGTGCCCAATCACCCCTCTTGTCACGACGTACAGTGGAGGCCCATGCCAAGAGACACTCTGCTTGCCTCCAGGGTGCCCTGGGTTTCTTGGGTCTCGATGCCCCCACAACCAAAAGTCAGCGAACGCCCTGGGGTCTCAGGGCTGGGCTTCTTGTGGCAGATGTCTTGTGGACGGGCCGCCACTGCACACCAAGAGTGCGCGCGAAGCGCTTGTCTGGCGTGCGGCGCGCACCCTCGTGCTTGTGCTATGGTGTTCCAACCTACTTAGCCTTGGTCACCAGCATTTCGAGCACCACGAAAGTACCGAAACTTCAGGGATTTCACGTGTCGGGCCCTGGGAGGCGATACTTGTTCGACACTTGTTCGAGACTCTTCTTCTGGGTGCTCGACATTATTTCTTGGACTTGGTCCTTCAGTACGATAAGGGGGCAACATAATGCTTGTGTCTCAGACACCACGCGCAGCCGTGACATCAGACGGCAGCAGCGATCGGCTGTTTCGCTGCCTACGGGGCCTCTGCCGCGACCACCCTGTGGGGAGCCGCGGTGCTGCTCCCGCGGTCTTCTCGTCGCTGGCGCGGCGCGAGGGACTTGCGTCTGAGGTTCGAGGCTTAGCGTTGTTGGGTTCGGGGTTCTGTGCCGATGTCCGGTTGAGGTGACGGGCGCCCTGCCCGACACTTTGGGGTCGAAGAACGATATAAGTAAACGTTTCCGACGTCGGATACGTATGTCCCCCAGGGGGTTGCTAAGTTTATGCCCCCACGGTGCCGCGCAGGGGCATAAACTTTCCAGCCGCCCAGAGAGGCGCCCCCGACGGCGGAACGTTTATGTTACACCGTTCTTGGGCCGCTGAGACACGGCCGCCGTCTGTCCATCTCAGGAGGTCCCGTGCGAACAGTGGGAAACCGACCCCAGCCCCCACAACTATGGATGTTACACGTCAGCGTTTTGCATTTACGGCGAATGAGCGTAAGTGTAGGCGCTCGGTCGGCGAGACCATTGCCAGCTGCCGCAGGGGGGGCCCGCGCGCGCGGTGACGTCTTGGGCCCGCTCGACGCGGCCGCGCCCGCGCCGGCGTTCCCAGGGCGGCGCGTTCCACGGCCGCGGCTCGCAGTTTGAGGCCACGGCGGCGGTGTCCCTCGAGCGGCAGCGCCTCTGGCCCAGCCGAGGGCCCCCGCGCCCGCCTCCGTCGCCCCCTCCTGACCCCGCCGGCGGAAAAGTGTAAATCGGGAGCGTTTCTCTTAAGGCAACTGGGCCAATATACAGTTGTTTGACGTTTCTATAGACACGCTTTTCTATTCTAGTTGTTTTTCGGTGTTCTCCCGCGCGAGACTTTCTGCTTCAGAAGACTTTAGATTGATTTCGTATGGAGCTAATATCCACTTATTTCGCTTGGTGCCTAAACTTTGTTTTCGGGGTGGATCTAAACTTTTCGATGCGCGCCCGTGCCGGGGGGGCACCGGACCCCGCGCGGGGCTGTTGCCAGTGCCGCCAAAACCGACGCGCTCATAGGTTTTTGCCCTGGCACAAGCACGCGAATGTCCACAATGGTTTTGGGTTTCGACCGCGTGCCAGCACAAGAAAACGCCAAGTTCAAATGCCACTGAACATGGCAGCGGCGCGCCGTTCGCATTGAATGTCGCGGCGTTGTCGTTGGCTGACCGTCGAGCAGTTTCCGCTCTCAGCTCGCGCGTCGCTTGACAGACCCAGTGGTCCAGAGTTCTTCATGTTGGGGGCGGGGGGCGTTTTTCATGCGTTCGCCGTGCCCGAAAATATTCAAAAATAGTGAAAATAGTCTGGGGACGATTTTCTCATAATTTCCTGATGTGTTTGAATATTTGTTGGGTGTTGCAGATTTTCCGTTCAGAATCCGACTGTAGGGGGACACGCCCGACCTAAGGGTCGGGCGTCGGAAGGGGGTCTTGCCCTGCATTTCGGGACGGCTGACGAACAGGCAGCACAAAACCCGCTGAGTCCGAGTTCCTGTTGAGGCTCATTGATTATGCAGCACTGTCGTGTTCGCTGTCATTTCTACGGAAAGCCATGCTTCGGCACTTGAGCGACGCAAAAAAAAAAAAAACGTGGCCCTCTTCGCCGACATTCGCGCGTAAGTTGCCCGCGTAAGGTCGCGCGCAAGCGACCTCGTCTCCAATGTAGTTTGCCGCGCTGGCGGCCCGCGCAATCCGCCGCGTTTGGTCGGTATGCCATCTCGCGAAGGACCCGTTCCTTCTGGTTGTCAGTTGGGCTCCCAGAAGTCAGGGTTCCACGGGCCATTCAGTGGGGCCTCGTCAGCGGCCCCCGAAGGCGGGGACCTCTTGCGGAGGTCCCCAGAGGAGGCGGGGGAGGAGGAGGAGGAGGAAGAGGAGGCGGAGGAGGAGGAAGAGGAGGAGGAGGATGAAAAACAAAAACAGGAACAGGAACAGGAACAAGAGGAGGAGGAGGACGAGGAGGAGGAGGAGGAGGAGGAGGAGGAGGAGGAATACGAGGAGGAGGAGGAAGAGGAAAGGGAGGAGAATGAGGAGGAGGAGGGGGAGGGGGAGGCGGAGGAGGAGGAGGAAGAGTAGTAAGAGGAGGAGGAAGAGGAGGTGGAGGAGGAGGAGGGGGAGGTCCCCAGAGGTCCGCTGCTGAGCCCATGCGGCGGCGGACACCTCGAGGGCGCCACCGTCGGGGTGAGCGCGTTGCGAATCCCGCGGCAACTCCGCCAGAAGGGCACTTGGAGGGGGAAGCGGTGCCAAATCCGAAACCCTTCGCCGTGTCCTGTTGTTGGCCTCTTGGGGGGCCTTCGTCGCCACCGCTATACTCCGCTCGATTTTTCGGCCAGAACGCACCCCGGAAGAGCTCCAGGGTGCACTGGTGGCATCGGTGCCGTTTGGTTTGCGCATATTCCTTCGTTTTTTTTTCTGTTTATTATTTTGATCATTATTATTCTTCTCGGCACAAGATTCCTATTCCTACATCCTGTTCCTTCGGTTGGTCTGTGCACGCGTGCAGGGACGCATTCCCCAAAACAGTACTTGCACTCAGGGATTCTTACTTCGGGTCTAAGGATCTGGCCGTGTCTTCGGTCTGGCGGGTATGTGGCCGCCGTCGCCGCCACGTCGCCGCCTCGTCGTCGTCCGTCGTCTGGGCCGTATCTTTTGCGTGGCGGCTATGTGGCCGCCGTCACCGCCCCGTCGCCGCCTCGTCGCCGCCCGTCGCCGCCGTTGGATTACATCACGCAGTCTGCACGGAAAAAAATGTCGCGCCTGCGGCGCGCGTTCTGATCGCTCACACCACATGTTCGTCGCAGCGCGGCAGAGGCAGTCCGCACGCGCGCTCGAGCGGGCCGGGAGACCGCAGGCGCTCACTGTCCCGCAGCAAGTGATTTTGGACGAGGGCACGGGCGAGCGGCCGCGGGGGGGAAACGAGCGGGAGCAGAGGGTACCCACAGGGCGAGTAGGCATTGGCTTGGAGCGGCCGGGGCGGCCAGCCAGAGCTGCATCACCACTGGCACGGGGCGCGGGAAGGCGTCACGGCCACACCCATGGGGCCCCCAAGGATCTACCCGACATATTATGTGTGCAAATGTTCCCGGCACAAGGCCGTAACATGTGGTAGTTTGCACCGCGAGCCTCCAGCAGCAGGGTCTGCTTTGTGCTGGTCCTTCCCGGATCCTGGAGGCCTCCGGGGAGCCTCTGCAATGGCCTCCTAGGAACATGTTAAAGGTTTTTGAAGCCATCTTGTGGGCGACGGCCCTTAGAGCCTCCGCTAGCTCGCCCTCTGAAGCACCTCTTGCGGCCCCCTTTGTTCCCTCCTTCTCCGATGTCTCGCCCCCTCTTCCCCCCCCGCCTCCACCCTCCTCCCTCCTCCTCCTTCTCCTCCTCCTCCTCCTCCTCCTCCTCCTTCTCCTCCCCCTCCCCCTCCCCCTCCCCCTCCCCCTCCTTCCTTTTTGTGGCAGAGCCATGGCGCGCGCGCGCCGCTCGTTTCAGTGGCTGCTCGTGGCAGGGACGTAGTACGTCTCGGCGGGGGTGCCCGCGCATGCCCACGGCCACCGCTGCACGGGCATCGAGGACGACACAGCGGCAGACGTACGGCCCCCTCCGGCCCGCTCTTCGCGGCCTCGTTTCCACGTCTGAGCGCTTCGCCTCCTCCTCCCCATCGCGCGGCCGCCCTCGCTTTCCTTCCTTCCTCCCTCGTGCACGCCGGACACTTCGCCGATCGGTGCCCCCGATTCGCCGCACGCCGGGGCGGACTCCCTCTGCCCTCGCCGCCGACGAACAAAGACGAGTACGGCAGGTTCGCGTCGTGTCGACCGGCGACGACCCCAGCGTGGGCGTGCAAGATTGAACGCCGCCTGTGGTCCAGAATCGGCCCATCCTTGAACAGTCTGGCCTTTTTGAAAGGGCCGATCGTTCAAGTTTGAACGATCCCCGCGGTGTCAGGAACCGAGGGCGAGGTCGTCACGACGCGAACCTGCCGTAATTGCGGAGGTCGGGGCGGAGTTCCTGGATCTGCGCTGGACCCCCTCGGCGGCGCCTCCGGCGCCGCTCCTGGCGCGCCTGCGCTCGCCAGGGAGAGAGGGTTCGGCGCAGATCCAAGAAGTCTGCGCGGACTTCGGTACGTTCCTGCTTGCAGTGGAGACCCATGCCAAGAAACCCTTTGCTTGCCTCCAGGGTGCCTTGGGTTTCTTGGGTTCCGATGATTTTGCGATGGATGGCGTGACGTTCCCCCACCAAAAATCAACTGACGTCCTGTGGTCTCAGGGCTGCTAAGAAACACCCTGCTTGCCTCCAGGGTGCTTTGGGTTCCTTGGGCTTTGGATGTTTTTGCTATAGAAGGCGTGACGTTCCCATACAAAAAAACAATGGACGTCCTGGGGTCTCAGGGTTGGGTTTCTTGTGGAAGGTTTCTTGTGGTCGGGCCCTTACTGTAAACTCTCGGAGGTCCGCGCGGATTTCTTGGCGCCTCCGCTCGCCAGGGAGACAGAGCTCGGCGCAGATCCAAGATGTCTGCGCGGACCTCAGTACGTTTCTGTTTGCAGTGGAGACCCATGCCAAGAAACACCCTGCTTGCCTCCAGGATGCCTTGGGCTTCTTTGGTTTCGATTGTTTTGCTACTGAACTCGTGACGTTCCACACCGAAAGGCAATGGACGTCCTGGGGTCTCAGGGTTGGGTTTCTGGCTGAAGGTTTCTTGTGGCGGGGCCCCTCCTGCAGTTGCTTCTAGGACACTCGGGGACACTGACATACCAGGACGCTGGCGCAGCCGAAAAAACTACAGCCGTGGGCCGAGCCATGCTCCAACCTCCGTGGTCCCCGGTTGATCTGGCATTCAGTCGGGCATGTCCTTTTACAGGAGGAATATTCAAAACATGTTTAAGATAGTCCGGAGACGATATTCTAAAATGATGTTTGACTCTTGTTGAGCATTGTTGGAATTTCTTTTTACTTTTCCTCCAAAATCCCCCTGTAGGGAGACATGCCCGACCTAAATCTGGCAACGTCCTGTTCTGCAACATCCTGAGTCCCGGTCCCCAGAGGCACCTTGTGTGTTGGGTTCGGGTGCTCGCGTAGCGGGGGACAGCGCTTACGGGGGTCGAGCAGTCCATTCTCAGAGGGCAGAAAATCCACGCCGATGATAACCACCCTGACGAGCGAGGCCGTTCAGCAAACGCACCCCAAGGAGGAATCGAACAGGGCAGGGCTGTTTAGTAAACGCCCAAGGCCGTTTAGGGAACGCCAATCATCGGGTCCGGGTGGTTTTTCTTCCCTTGAGTCCTGGCTGCCCCGGGGTCTCGGAGCCACGTGTGGCCCGTTCCCCCGATCTGCCTTCCGCCGACCCGGAATTGGGAGCTACTAGGCTTAAGTCGGGCCTGTCCCTCTACTGGAGGAACATTCAAAAATAATCAAAAAATCATCGAGCATTTCTGGAGTATTTTTCTATGATTTTCAATTTTTCGTCCAAAATCCCCCTGTAAGGGGACAGGCCCGACCGACTAGGCGGCCGGTCAGGATTCGCGACAGGGCTGTGGCCGACCTGGGTTTGGGCTGACCCGGGTCAGTGCGCCTCCGATGGATCATGGACGCGACGGCGTGTTGCCACAGAGTGAGTCGAGCCAGGCAAGGTCCTCGCTGAGAGAGGCCAGCCCTCCCACGCGCGCGGGGCCCGGGACGCTTCCATGCAGCCACCCCGCGGCGCCGAGCGCGTGGCGCGTCCCGCGCCGCGCGGCGGCAGAGGTAATGGGGAAGCTGGATCGCGGCCTGAACGCCCGCCAGAAGCTGATCGACGCTCTGAAGGCGTGCTTCTAGCACTCCCAAACGGTATCCGAGCAGATGGGCTCGACGGATCGCACCGAATCGCCGATGCATCGCCGATGCGGCTCGAGGTGGAGCCCGTTTCTCCACACCCAGTCGGCGCCGATGCATCGCTGACGTCATCGATGCATCGCCGATGTATCGGCGACGCATCGGCGATATGTCGCCGATGCATCGACGATGTGGCGCGATCCTCCGACCCCATATCTGCTCGGACCCCATCTGTGGGCCTCTAGTGCTGCCGCTCCTCGTTGGTTCTTCCTGGCGGTGTTCGCGCTTCGGGAGGCCCTCCCGCAGCTGCGCCTCGCAGAGAGCGTGCCTGAGTTGCCCGGGTCATCCCGAACGGTCGCCATATGCCCGAGTGGTGTCCCGAACGCCGTCTCCCAAGACATCCTCGCGCCGTGACGGAGTCGCGGCGGGAGGTGTTTGACAGCATTCGAGGACCTTCGCTTCGGGGGCCCTCGCCGGGCCCCTTGGAGCCGTCAAGAGACGGCTCGGGATGAGGAGCGTTTTGCAGGGAAGGGATCGAGACCTCGAGGGGTCCACGCTGCGAAACAGAAGCACGACGGTGGTGTTCCGGGTTGTGTTTTTTCCACTCCATTCGCTGGTTGGAATCAGGCTCTCTGAGCCCAGGGAGGAAAACAAATGGATCCTATAACTGGCGTTCACAGCTTTGAGCATCTGCCAAACGGTCTTGCCCTGCGATGTGCCTTCATGCTACGCGTTTTCTACGGGCCTTGGTCCGTAGGCGTGCTCATGATGAGTGTGGTTCGCTCCTGGAGGCCATTCTGGACTTTCCTTGGCCCTGTCGGCGGCAATCTTAGGCCATCTTGGACGCCCAACCCCTCCCCGGCCCCACTTGGCCTGACCCATGGGCCTATGGGAGGAGGCATGTCCAGGAATCAGGCTTCGCACGAGCCGCAAGCCGTCTCGCTCAGTCACACCAGCCATCCAAACATTACACCTGAGAAAACCCCAATCAGTGGAGATCGACCCGGAACCCGGCAACCAGGAACCCACCGAAATTGGCCCGGAACCAATGACCAGGAACCCGGAACCCGGGAACCCAGCAGGCCACCAAAATCGGCGGAACATTTTGGCTCAAAATCCTGCAGCTTCCGCTGGGGACCCCTGCAGTGTAAGCACTGAGTGGGGAATACGCAGCACCCATGGGGGGGGGGAGCCACCAAAATCGGCGGAACATTTTGGCTCAAAATCCTTTCCTCCACTGGGGCCCCCTGCAGTGTAAGCACTGAGTGGGGAATGCGCAGCACCCATGGGGGGGGGGGGAGCACGGGGAGGAGGGAGGGAGCGGGGGCGGAGGAGGAGGGAGGAGGGAGGGAGCGAGGGCAGAGGGCGAGGAGGAGGAGGGAGGGAGGAGGGAGGAGGGACGAGGGAGGAGGGAGGAGGAGGAGGAGGGAGGAGGAGGAGGAGGAGAAGGAGGAGGGAGAAGGAGGAGGAGGAGGAGGAGGAGGAGGAGGAGGAGGAAGAGGAGGAGGAGGAGGAGAAAGGTCTCAGCATGGGCAGGGGCCAGCATCGACACGCGTGGGGAGCCAGCTGCAGACGCCAGCTGGGTGCGCGACGCCCGCGAGTTGTCCTTGTGTCGGTTGCGTCCTCAGCGCAAGTTTCCCCATGGTTTTGAGGGCGCGGATGGCCGCTCGGGAGCAAGCCGGTGCCAAGGGATGTTCTGGGCAGGTGCTCTGATGTTTGATGTATGTGTTGCTGTCTGTTCGCTGCTAGTTGTGCTTTGCCCCTGTGGCCAACCTGAACGTGGCTTGCCACCAGTATTCTGTTGTAGGGATGTGTTCCGCCAAAGTTGCGGCCAGGAGGAAGCATAGATGAGTGTTTGCCCTCCTGCTCCTCAATCTTCATGTCGAGGATCAGGGAGGTTGGGGTGAGGAGGGAGTAGGAGGACGAAGGAACGTGAAGGACGGGGCAGGAGGAGGAGGAGGAGAAGGGTCCCAGTATCGGGGCTCCCTTGTGCTACTTGTAGGAGCCTTTTGGGGACGACGACGACGACGACGACGCACATTTGGAACGGAAAACGATGGCCACGGCGGCGTCCATGGCGGCGGCAGTGACGAGGACGTCGACGACAACGAGGACGACGATGACGACGACGACGAGGACGACGACGACGACGAGAACGACAACGACAACGACGACGACGACGACGAGGACGACGACAGCAACAACGACAACGGCGACGACGACGACGGCGACAGCGACGACGAAAACGACGACCACCAGGACGAGGACCACGACTAGGACGACGACGAGCGCGGGCTCGGCGCCTCCAGACGTCGCTGAGCAACTCCGCGGCGCTGCCCAAGACGGCCATGTGCCCGCCGTCGGTGGTCCGGAGCCGCCCGCGCTCTTGCCCGTCCACGTCTCCTCCTCGCCCCATCTGAGATAAACAGTGGGAATCCGACCCCGGCCCCCACAGCGAATGTTTTTTAGATGATGACGTTTTGCATTGTGGCGGGTGTGCGTAGGTGTAGGCGCCCTGTAAGCGAGGGCATTGCCAGCTGCCGCAGGAGGGGGCCCCGCGCGCGCGGTCGAGTTGGTCTAAAGTTCCTCAAGTGGGGGGCGGGGGGCGGTGGTCAGGCGTTCATGAGAGACTCTGACGTTCCAATGTTTGCTCAATCTGGGCGTTTCGTCCGGCTTCGTGCCCCAGGACCATCAGAGACCGACGCGGCTCGGACAAAAAGCTGCAGGGAGATGGGATCTTGGGTCTAGGGCTCCTGTCGCGATCCCTCGTGAGGTTTGAATGTTTCGCAACACCAGATCTCAGGGTCGCTCCCTCTCATCCGTCTTATCCTCGCTTCTCCTCCATGCGTCCTTCTCTCCTTCCCTGCGCTCCTCCTCGCTCCCCCTCTTCGGCCCCGGCCCGCTCGCGTTGCCCTCGTGGGGCCGGTCCGTCGGACCGACGGTGCGTGCTGGCTCATGCTTAGGGCCAGTCGGATGAGGGAGCCTTTGGAGCGTTGCTGCGGCAGGAGCTTGGGGCCAATCAGGGCCCACTTCGATCCGATTCGATGCGATTCGATCCGCCTGCTGGGGACGCGATGACGATCCGATTCCGCTCCAGTTCGATCCACAGGCATCGGATGTGGCCGGCCGGAGCCGGGTGCGGCGATCCGTTTCCGCTCCGATTCGGGGCGTTTCGTGGGCGATCCGATCCGCCTACGATTCGATTTGATGTCGCGGTTCGATCCAGCCTGCCAACTCGCTTGGAGGCCGCGTTCAAGGCTGAGCTGCGCTCAGCCTCCGCGGTGGATCCCAGGGGCCTCGAGTGCGTGGACCTGCAGCCCTTGCAGATCCCGTCGTTTATCCCCCATGTTTCTCCTCCCGTCCCTCAAGGAGTGTGGAGGGCGAGGAGGAGGAGAGGGAGTAGATGGATCAGAGGCCCATGGGGGAGAAGGAGGAGGAGGATACCGTTGGGCTTTTATATCCAGCTGTTCACCCCCCCACCCCCCCCCACATGGGCCATAATTTCAAACCATCAGCACGCAGTCCACTTGGCATCGCCAGCGGTTTGGGTCGCGATGCAGAGCGATCGACCAGAGAGGGTCCTCCCCTCGTCCATCGTGGAACCTGTCGGGCAGTGGGGCACCACTCCCGCCGAACGACCGAGGCCTGCTGGCCTCTCAGCCCACAGCCCACGGCGTGCGTGGAACGCGTGCAGCTTCGGCGCTGAAACAAGGACAGGGTTGGGCTCAGGAGTGGCTCAGGAGTGGCTCGGGTGCTTGGGCAGTTCCTCAGACCCAGGTCTTCGTATCTATTCGTGGACGAGGTTCGCCGTGTCCCGTAGCACCCCTTTGTTCCGTGGGCTGCGTTCCTGGTGATAGCATGGTGACTGCATGCCTGGATTTCCGAAGCAAGAAGGGGAATTCTGTCCTGGAAACGCTCACCTCTGCATATGCCAGGGTCGTCCAATAGGGGGGGGCGGGACAAGGTGTGTGTGTGTGTGCGGATATCATGGTCTGGGTAATGACATCTCCCTGGATCTCCCTGGATTGCATGGCCCCATCTGCTATTGCAGTACGTCTCCTGGCCCCCCTCGTGCGCGCACATGCCTCGGGCCATGCTCTGCGAACCGCCAGCGGACCCCGGCGGTCCCCGGCGGTCACCGCGTGCCCCCGTACGCCAAAGAGCCAACAGCAAGCATCGCAAGACAGCTCAGCCCTTGGCCCCTACCGCCTGCCGGAAGCGGCGAGCACACATCGGGCACCGTCCCAGAGAATGTGCCATGAGTGTTCGTGCGTGTGTGCCACATCCAGGTGGTTCTCCGACTATCTCCGCCGCGTCGTTGCACTCGTGGCCACGGTGCCAGCAAATGTGTGAGAGTGTTTGTGTGTGTATGTGTTTGTGTGCATGTGTGTGTGTCTGTGGCTGTGTGGCTGTGTGGCTGTATGTCTGTGTATATGTATATGTGCACACGTGTGGTTATTCCTCCCTTGGGTCTCCAAGGGTTCTCTGCTGACTGACCCTGCTGCGTCGCTGTGAGCGCGGCCGCCGCACTAAGAAACATGTGTGCCGCCCATGTGGCGCGCCTTGGGTTGTGGAACCTATCGGCTAGGCTATAGGCTATAGGTTGCGCGATTCGTGGGTTGCGCCATCCACGGATTGCTGCATGGATTACGCAAAGTTCCATCATCGGGTTTCACGTGTTGCGTAATTCGTGGGTTGCGCGACCATTGCGTTGCGCTGTTGTGCCATTGGTTGGCTCATCTGTAGGTTGCGCCGTGAGTTGCGCCATCCACTGTGCCATGGGTTGCGCCATCCGCGGGTTGCGATACCTGTTGGCGCCAGTCATGGGCTGCGTGGTAGGTTTCGCCGTCCGCAGGGCGCACCGTATCTTACGCCTCAGTCTGCGCACTCTGTTGCCGCACATAATCAAGCCTGCTTTTGGTTTCGCCATAGATTGCACACTCGACGGCCGAAGAGCATAACGGTCATTCATTGGTTGCGCCATCGGTCGCACGTTCGATTCTTAGACGGCCGATGCTCAACCGGCCTGCTATTTGCTGCGCCATGTTTTGCGCATTGGTTGCGCCATAGGTCGCCGACTCGGCGGCCGAGAGTACAAGCGGCCCGCTGTTGGTTGCGCCAAATGTCGCGTGACAACGCAGCCTGCACCAGAGGTACACGCTCGCTCACGAGTGCGACCAGTGCAGCCAGATCGGTTCAGTGCACAACGAAGAACTAAGTCGGGCTACAGCCCCCCAAACAATCGGCTCTCGATCATCGAAGCTCGGACGACGACGACGTCGCCGCCGCCTCGGCGTCGGTTGTCGTCGTCGTCGTCGCCATTGCCGTTGCCGTTGTCGTTGCCGACGCCGTCGTAGTCGTTCGTCGTCGTCTGTATGTCTGTCTGTCAATGAGTCAGTGCGTCAGTGAGTCAGTCAGTCAGTCAAGCCAGTCAGTCAGTCAGTCAAGTCAGACATTCAGTCAGCCGTCGTCCGTCGTCGGCCACCAGCCGCCAGCCGTCGCCAGACGCCAGCCGTCGTCGGCCAGCCGCCGGTCGCCGGCCGCCAGCGCTGCGCCCGTCGCCCGTGGGCAGCCGCCGTCCGCCTCTCAGAGAGGTCGGCGCGGCCCGGGCGCCGCCCGGCCCCGCGCCCGCGCCGCCGGCGGTGGCTGCGCCGGCGGCGGCGGCAGCGGCCGGCCCGCAGGCCTTCCCCGGGTGCTATGAACAGAAACTTTTTGGCGCGCGCCCGGGATGGCTCTCTAGGCCTCCTAGGCCTCCTAGATTCAGGGGCCCCAAAAACGGGGCGGTGACCACCGTGCGGTGAGTCGGTGGGGATTTGCGGTCACCGCACAGTTTTGGGACTCGGGTCGTTCTCCGAGGACGTCTCGGGCGACTGGGGCCTCCGAGGTCCCAAAACCGTGCGCTGACGGACCGTGCGGTGAGGTCTTGGAGGGTTTCGACGTCACCGCACGGTCTGTCACCGCACCGTTTCGGGACTCCAAATTCGATGGGGTCGGAGTGGATGGGGTCAGAGGATCGGGCCGCATCGCCGACGCATCGGCGATGCATCGCCGATGCGGCTTAACGTGGGGCTCACTTTCCTCCTTGCCGACGTTGCCAAGGCATCGCCGATGCATCGGCGATGTATCGGCGATGCAGCGAGATCCTCCGACACTATCTATTCGGACCCCATCTGGGAGGCCTCTAATGTCTTAGATCCGCGCTGGGCCCCTCCCGGCGACGCCTCCAGCGCCGCCCCTGGCGCGCTCCGCGCGCAAGGGAGGGACGGTTTTTGTAGCGCGGATCCAAGAAATCCGCGCGGAGCGCCACAAATTTACGTTTATGTTTTTGTGGTTCTTTTCATAAGTGCCCTTGGCCGAAGGCGCCCCCAGTTGGGGCTCAAGAGAGGGGGCTAATGCAAACGGGGGTCAGTCAGAGCGCCGGATCTTGCAGGATCCTGCAGGGCCAGGGTCGCACTGAATCGGATTTGGGTGCAGGATCCTGCAAGGCTTGACGGGCCAGGGTTTGCATTGACCCGGGGCAGTGTGTCTCGACCCAGGATTTCCAAGGAGGCCCCCACGGCCTCCACAGCGTCCCTCGCGAGGCCCAGAGGGCCCCAGGGGCTCCAAAAAGTGAAGCGAAAAGCTGGGGGCACCTTGGGCCAGGGGCGCCTTCAGCAACCCCCGACCTTCGGGAGCAGGTTCGACAGGATCGTTCGGCGGCGAGCCCAGTGGTG